GAAACATTAGTGGATTTGTACCCTTGTGTACTTTCGGCAGTCAGTACAGTACAGGGATATGCGAGTGTTTGTTGAGTAGGAATAGATCAGTAGCATTTTCAAGCCACCCATTGGTCTTGCCCATGTCAATGATGGAGTGAAGGCCTGTCTCCAACAGCACATGTTTTCATGTGTCGTTTCATAACGAGGCATCCACTAATAAGTTTAACATGCCAGATTTTTTGTATCCATTTTGAGTTAGTGCATCCCTGTCAGCCTTGGTCATATTATTGTATGTCTTAGTACTGTTGGGTTGTGCTATATTGTGTGTTACTAGTCCGTAAAGAAGTATCAATTGATGGAAACTGGCCTGGTGGGACAAAGCTACTCTTCAATCTGAATGTGGTAACCATATGCATACTAGGTGGCTGAGTAGCAAAATGTTGTTTGATCTTCAACTATCTTTCAAATTTTAACATCTTGACCTTAGGCAGCCGATCCGATTAAAAACTTTTAAGACCTTCTTTAAAAAAACAAAAACGTTTAAGAGCCGGTATATGCCTTTGGTATCGGGCCATGCCCTGTATCAGTATTGGGGCATCCCTAGAATCACTTATGGGAAAAAAATTTCACTAAACTACATTTCACAGGCACACACAGCTTTAACACTTGACCTGTTTGGTATCTATTTACCCCACACAACCCCATCTTTTATATTTTAGCAAAAAATTGGGTATTGCGTTCTGTTTCTGTGAACTAAATGTCCTTTTTAGTGTAATTCATCCTAAAAATACTGGTTTGATAAACATTTGCATAAATATCCTGCGTCATTAAAACTGCAACAAACATTTTTTTATTCTATAACGCCTGTGCTTTCAGAAAATATATAATTGTTTGAAGCTGTTTTCTAGCCCAAAATTCTGATTTTTATCATGTGTGCGCAAATGTAAGAAATTGCTCTGGGCAAAAGTGGTTAAAGTATACAGCTGGAACCATCTCATGTGGATGTTTGCCTAAAAAGAAAAAAAAAACTCCCTTCATACAGAATGTCTGATAGTTTTATTAAAATCAATCAAAAGTGTCTGCAAAATACAAGCTTAAAAACACTCCCACTATATGCAGCAAGAAACCAACATGGCTGCCATGTATTCTGCTAGTAGCTTGATAACATCAATGTCCTAAGCTCCACCCTACATATTTTATTCAGATGTCCTTAGGGTCTGTGGGTGCTGACTTGTACTACATCTGTTTGACCTTAGAGAGTAGTAGCCTCCACTCCTTGAAAAAGCCTGCCCACGTTGAATCAGGCTAACAGATGCCCATTTCTCCTCTTGTTACACAGCAACAATCAAATATAGAAATTTAATTAAGAAAAATTTATCAAAATTGGGGCAGACAGAATCTGGAGCAGTTGCCCAAGGCAACCAATTGGCTTCTACCTTTTATTTTCAAAGCTTAACTGAAAAGAGAAGCTTTTGATAAATCCCCCCCAAATTGTTGCAAAGTTATATAAAGGGGAACATCTTGTGTTACTGTTTGAAACATCCAGCAGTACATAAACATATTGAAAAGTAAAAACAAACAAAAATGTAGAAATCCAAAACAATATGAGGGGACATGAACTTACAGTATAATTGTCTGATTACTGTCTTGTTTTAGGGCTGGTCCACACCCTATCCAGTGCATGCCGGCATGGTTAGTGCCTGCAATGCACTGGATTGCATAATTAAAGCCTCCTGCGTTCTGGGAGGGGCGTGTGTGGTGCCATTTGTCAATTGCCCCGGCAGACACGCCTCCCTCCTGCAGTGCACTCGCACGCACCAGAACGCGTGGTACAGCAATGGCATGCATTCCGGTGCAATCACAAAAAAATAGTGCATGCTGTACCACACGTTCTGGTGCGGGTTATCACATTGTGGGTGGGAGGCTTGTCCGCGGTGCCATTGACATGAATGACACCATCCCGCCCCAGAACGCCAGAGGCTTTAATTATGTGATCCAGTGGTTTATGGGCTCTAATCGTGCCAAAACACATTGGATATGGTGTGGACAGGCCCTTAGGGCTTGTTCACACTAGCAGCCACTTTCAATCGCATGACTGCTGGTGTGCGTGTGCCCGGACAGTGCCAATGCGCTCAATTGAGCTGCAATACAGGGGTTTTTTCTTCGGGTTTTTTTTTGGTTATAACTTTATTGAAATGCCACAATTGATATTTCATTAAGTTCTATGGGCAAACTATGGTGCAGTTGTACTTAAGAAAAGTACTGCATTTTGTATACTTTAAAAAAAAAAATATTATTATTATAAGTGTATTAAAAAATGTGTGGTAGGGGGTCCCCATAAAGGGTAAACCAAAATGGTCAAAGTTCCCAACAAACAAAAATATTCTTAAATAATATCTTAAGCTATTCACAAGGGGTATTAAACCTAAATAGTAGTAGAAAAAAAGAGAGAACCAATGCCCATAGGGATGTACTCCTTGGGAAACAATCGAACAAGTCTTTATAAAAATATAGCCCTTTATTAACCCCTTTGTGACGGGAGATGTACACTGTACGTCCAGCCACAAAGGGACCAAATGACTTGTCACGTACACTGTACGTGACGAGTTATTTGCTGCTTTAGAGGGCTGTTAACGCTGAGAATCAGCTTTTAACATTCATTAATGGATGCCCTTACTACAGAGGCATTCATTAATGAAAGGGTTAACCTTTTTCAGACACCCAATACCTTAATATCGGGTGTCTGAGAGTCAAAGCAGAGGGACACAGATGCCGGCTTTTGCCGGCATTCTGACAGCTCGTATAGATCGAGAGAGATATCTCTCTCAAGCTATACTGGCTTTTTTTTTTTATTTCATGAATAGATACATAATGTGTCTATTCCTACAATGTATCTATTCCTGAAGGAAGAATGTTTGTTTGCTGATCGTTGTTGCAACAATCAGAAAACCTTTAGTGACAGCTGAATCCTGAACTGCTGCAGGATCAGTGTCACTAACTTATTATCGGCTGTTCTGAAGTTTGAAGCAGCCTGATAATAACCAAAAATGTATTAATTTATCAAGCAGTAACAGTGAGATTAATTCACAATGACTGCTTGATATAATTAAATAAATAAAATTACATTTTTACGTTTAAAAAAAGTGAAAAGTGTAAAAAATAAAATAAGGGACAAATGAATGTATTTATTGCATTTTTCTTAGCTGTGCTGGTTTTGTAAAAAAAAATACTACAAATCAAAACTGGGAAAAAAGTTTTTTTCCTCTTTTTTTTATATTTTATTTGTCCTAAGTGAGGCGTTAGGGCTACATATTTATATCACATATGTGTGTCTATCTGTCCTCTAAAAAACAATATATAATATGTGTGGGTGCACTTTGTAAGAAAGTATATTACTGACGTGGAAGAATCACACAGCAAAAATGTCAAAAGTGTGTCAGTCATTTACGAACAGAAACTAAAAACAAGCTCAGTCATTAAGGGGTTAAATAGCAATACAAAACCATATTAATAAAACCATCTACGTGCGTCCTGCATGATATACTGTATATACAAAATATATAGAATCAGAAAAACCTCATGGAAGATCTGGTTAACTCATGAAGTAGACACAAACCTCCTTCATATGATGTAGATAAGGAATACGTCATATTTTTTGGAATCAATCATGCATGATTTAGAGGCAGCCCAGTTGCAACCTCATTAATGAAACGTTGGAAAATTATCCCTTTTAATTTTTTTTTGTGACGTCACACTTGAAAAACAAAAAGAAAGATAATCGGAAAACAAAAAAACAAAGCAAAACGTTGCTGATCAATAGGTCAAACCGATTCACTGTGTAGTACAACAAAGCAACGTGAACATTTGTTGTTATGGTGCCACATGATATATATTTCCATATGAAAATATCAATGTGAGTATATTGTCCATTGGTGGACCAGAATAACAACCAAAACATGACAGCCAGGTTAGGTAGATATAGGCTGCATTATATTTTCAATGTGAGTAAGGCAGCAAACAGTCAGTGCTCCAATGTTGGGCCAAACCGTATAGTGCATAGGGCTCATAAAGAAATTATTCAAAGTACATCAGAGCCAAAAGTCCCAACACATGCACAAACTCCAATACTTAGCTTCAACCCGTCTACTTCAGATGGGTTGCAAATGGATGTCTGCGCAGTCACATGATCTGCCAGCTGGTTTAGATTAACTGGTTAAAGAGATGGTCAAATCGTCCTGCAGGACAGACGTGAACTCCACACATTCTTCCCTTATGTTTACGCACATATAAACATAAATACGTGTCAGTGGCGTCAGCGCGCGAAACAATTGCACTACACGTGTTACATATCGCCGTGAACGTTGGAGTGAGAGCAAAAGGTTTAGTGCCCTGAATCACTGATAATACTAAACTGATGAGGTAAAAGCTTTTAAAGCGTCGCCTATGGCCAATTTTGGGTATTGTAGTTTTTGGAGGTTTCGCGGGTACGTGCAATTTGAAGGCATGACATGTGTGATGTCTATTTACCAGACGTGACCCCTTTTTTTATATTTTACCAAAACATTGGGTAATAAATGTTTTATAATTTAATATAGGGGAAACAAGTTTGTTTTTGTTTTTTTTAATTTTCAATAATTTTTTCTTACTATAGTAAACAATAAAAACCCCAGTTGTGATGACACCAAAAGAAAGCTATCTATTTGTCCCCAAAAAATTATTTAAAATTAATTTCAGTACAGCGTTGCATGACGGAATAAATGTCAAAGTACTGCAGCGCTGAATACTGAAAAATGGCCTGGACAGGAAGAGGGTTTAACACCCCGGCCAGCAAGTGGTTAAATTTGTATTTTTGCACTTTATATGGTAGTGCTATATGTATTTTATATATAAATCATATACTTCTTGTGCATAGCCACAGCATGGTAGTACTTACATTTTGACCTATTTACATTAGGGAATTAAATAGTAGCGACATAACAATTTAGCCTGTTGGTAACAAAATGTTTTTATTGCTTTAGATGCTTGGACTGGATGGATCATTGGTTTTTCTGGTAAGGCATTGACTTTTGTTTACTTTGTTCCAAATAAAATTTTCTTTTGCAGATGATGTTGGGATATATGTATGGTAATATTGGGATTTATAACTTCCTAGAAGTGCCTCCACTGTGCACAATATACCATAGTTACATTTATGAGATGTTGACATACAATCTAAGTATGCTGAAGCTAGCTAATGTGTGCTTAACATGTTCTCCTTTTTGTAAATGTGTACATGTGTCTTTTGGAAAACCTGGCTAAATATGTATCCAACTATGTGTTGCTGTTAAATTGTGTATTTATATCTGTCATTTAATATCTAAAGTATTTGCAAGATGATCAGTCCTGGGAAATAATGTGACTTTAGCCAAGGGCAAATTTTCCATTAGTATTTTTATTCTGTCTCTTCAAGGTGTTTTTAGACCTGGTAATGAGAATGTTGGTATGCTGCTGTCTTTAATACAAGAGTTGGAGTGTTGGTGTTTGCAGTGTAAAGGTGCTCATACACCTGCCAATTATGGTACGATAATCGCGGAAAATCTTGCGATCATACGATAAGCGGCAGGTGTATGGAAGACGTGCGACCGTTTCTACTGTACGGTCGCACGTCTTTTGTCTAACGAGCAGGCTCGAAAACCCCCCGAGAATCGTACGATTGTCGGCGGGTTTGTGGCCTGCTCGTAAGATAAATGCTGCACGGGCCGGTGTGCGCAAGCGCACACTGCCCATTCAGCATTGCAGTCATCGGAAGCCCGCCCCTCGGCTGATGATCGCAAGTACGATCTGCCTGTCCAAGATGGGCAGATTGTATGTTTTTTTAATTACCTTACAACCATCGCATGACAAAAGTCTTGCGATGGTTGTAAGGTGTATGGCCACCTTTAGTGTCAGTGTGCTTAATCTGAAAGCATGTGTGCAGCTTTTAAAATTAACTCACAGTAGGTTTTGAATGAAATGAAAGCATAGCTTAACTCAAAAGCAATCCTGGACAGGTATCCAAAAAACTGAATCCAGTAAGTCTCCTACATCTGCCTGCCGGAGTGAGGATGGAAGAAGAAACTGGTGGTTTGGGATAGAGGTGTTTTAAGCTCTTGTGGGGGTGTCCTAAAGGGGGTCAAGAGGGCAGAGTTGACCAATTGTAGGCTGACATGAGAACCAGTCAGTCAAAAATTTCACCAGTTAGCATGACCGGACTATGGCCTTCGGGTAAATAGACACCAAACATGTCAAGCCTTAAAATTGTGTGCGCCCGCAAAATCACAAAAAACACCCATAGACGACGCTTAAAACGCTTTTACTGCTCATGAGTTTAGGGTTATCGGTGATTGATGGCCCTAAAATTATTGCTCTCACTCCGACGTTTGCGGCGATATGTAACGTGCGGCACAATCAGTGTTTTCGCACATAGGCACACCCGATGCATATCTGAGTGTGTATGTGGTGGGCGGGGACTTAAAATTTGTTTTCTTTTTAAATTTTTGTATGCTTTTATTTTTTTATGATTCTTTAATAACATTCGTACTCCAAGTATCTTAGAGCACTGTATAACAGAGGAATGGGAGGCAAGGGAATATGGCCCAAACATCAAATCTGCTATTGGTGACAAGAAATAAGGTGGGAAAAAGCAGGTGTGAGCGGGGGGGAGGGGGGTTCAGGAGGATAGAGAGTTGGAAAAAATGTTGGATAAAGGAGTGTGGGGGGGAGAGGACCCACCATCTACCGCTCCACCATACCCATCCAGGCTGTGTATAAATGTTTATGTGCTTAAAGAGGAACTTGTCCCATAGCCTTTAGAAAAGTTTAGTGATGACAGTCTACAAACAGATACTTATAGATAATGCAGACATTTTTTATTCTTTGCATACCTTGTTTTTCTTTTCCACTCCATTATTATCACAGTGGCCATTTTTAATAAGGGCAGATTAATCCATCTCCCTTTACTTCCTGGAACTTTAGCACATGTGACTAGTACATGTGACCATGCACATCATCTCAGGAGAGGAAAATACCCCTGAGATCTCCTGAGATTACAGATGAAATTTCCCAGTAATGCACTGCTGATGTAAACTTCCCAGGATGCAACACTTGGGCACATTACATCAGTTTTTGCCAAAGAGAAACAGCAAGTGGAAAACAAGAAATTGTAAGTTAAATACAAATGTTTGTTTAACTAATTAATGTAAGATCATTTCAGATCAGCATGTAGAAATGGATGCAATGTGATTTTTAGCCAAATGGGGTAAAGGTCCACTTTAACCTGCCAGCAAAGTTTCTTATTCATTGGTAAAGGTGAACTCGTGCCAGTAAAACCAGGTACAGTGAAACTACTTATCTCTATGTTGAAGAGACAGGGTAAGGTCTTCCATATCTTTGATATCAATAACCTTATGGAACCAGAACAAACTCAATGGAGGCGTGGAGAAGTGGAATACAGGTTTTCGCTGCGTTGAGGTGGTAAAGCATTGACTTAGGGTAGCACCTTTTAGACTTGTCGTGAAGAGGCAGCAGGTGTTTAGCCGGATCGGAAACCCAGATCCGTGCCAGTGAATTGGAGGATGATATTGTGTACTTTATCCCAAAATGTGTGGATGATCGGGGAGACCCAAAAAATCTGGAGTAGAGAGCCAGTTTCCCGGTTACATCACCAGCACATAGGAGATGTAGAAGGAAAAAGCCTATGGAGTTTTTTGTGGCACCATTTAATAACGGGAAAGCAGTTTTTATCCCGTGGATTTTATTGTCTATGGAAGTCTTGTTGGCCGAAGAGGATAATAAAGTCTCTCTGATTATCAAACTAACACCTAGATCTTTCTCCCATTAAAAGTTAAGCGCAGAAAATATGTCTTGGAAGGCTGAATAAGAATAGAGTAGCTCTGAGAGCGTGTGTGACGAATCGTCCCCTACTCTTTACAGAGGCAATCAAATGGGGAGCAAGGGGAAGGGGTTTGAGGTTCTTGAAAAGATTTGGCCTTGGTACCCTCTAGCAAGTGGGTAAACCTGAAACAGTTGTTATGTAATAGAGGAGTAAAACTAGAATTGAGGCCAAATGGGGGGTTATCAGGTCATCTGGTACTGAGGCCAACACGTGGAGAGTGGCAAATGACAAAGGGTAGTGATTAGTTTGAGATGAGGCCGTATCACCCAGCCACAAGTGATCACTAAGAGAAATTTGAGAGGAGGACTGCTCCATCTGGATCCACTTCTTGAACTCCCAAGTTTGTACACTATTCTAATATTCTCCCCAGGTGGGCAGCCTTATAATGCAAAAGAAGATCCGGGAATTCAATACCACCATGTGCCTTAGGCACAGCGAGTGTGGAGTGGTCAATGTGATGCGCCTTGGAGCCCCACGCAAAATTAAAGAATTCCTGCTGTAGCGCAAGAAGAATTTTTTTAGGTTTAGCTATGGTGTGGTTTGGAATAGAGAATAAGGAAGGACATTCATTTTCAGGATATTGTTCCTTCAAAAACATGAGAAATCGGCCTTGCCCAACATTTCAAGTCTCTGCGCATAGCTGAGAGAAAAGGTGGGGCATTAATGGTGAACATCTGTGAAATCTGTGTCAAAAAGAGAAGGAATTTTTGATACAAACTAACCAATGACATGGTACATAGACATTCATGGCCTGCACAATCTGCACATTTATTTTACGTAACACTATTTTTGCACGTTGAGCCACACTATGCTCCACCCCAAAAAAAGGCTTAACTTCCGGTTCCGGCGCCCGATGGAGTAGCGGTGTACGATCCTGCTCCGTCCCGCTTGTCAAGAAACACAGAACGTACCGCTCACACTCGGTCCTGCCCGACGATTCGATCACCGGGATTGAAAGGTGGAGGATGGACAAATACTTATCGCGGCCGCAATCGACTAAGAGAAACATTCTGCCGCACGAAGAATCCCCACGTGTATCTCCCAACATGGCGGACCGAAGCGAGCCCAGAGAAGACATGCAGACTGAAGCGCCGATTGAGTCCCCTCAATTACACTCGGAATCTGGGATAGGCTACCGGTCGCTGGCATCCGCAGTGGCTTCGTATTTAAAAGCAGACCTGACAACTATTATAGCTGACTCCATACAACAGCATATGGGTAAGCTGACACAGGCCCTGGAGACACAGTCTCACCGCTTACAGGCTGTGGAACAGCGTGTAGGGGATCTTGAAGATCATATGCATAGCCTTCAAATGTCACAAGACGATTCTCACAAACAGGTCACATACCTCTTAGACAAGGTTGATGACCTTGAGAACCGGATAAGATGCAATAATCTCAGGATAATAGGACTGCCTGAAACGGTGCAATCTTTTTATGTATGATCTTATGTGATTACCAACGCACAACTGTTTGTTATACTTTTGTATACTCTTTTTGAAACCCAATAAAGACATACATGCTTAAAAAAAAAAAAGGCTTAATGTCACTCATTTGCCTTGTGGGAAACCAAAATACATGAAACTTCTAGGATAGGTTTGGCAAGTTAAAAACGTAGGTTGTGGAAAGTTTCAAGGCAATCGATTGAGCTTTAGACACTTTTTTTTACGCATTAAGCTACATTAAGCCATTTTCACATTAAGGCTGGATTCACACCTGGGTGTTTTTCAGCGCTGATCGAAGCGCTGAAAAATGCTCAAACAGTGAAATCCCATACTTCCCTATGGGCATGGTTCCCACCTGGGCGTATTTCAGCCCGTGGAAACGCGCTGAAAAACGCCCTACGCCCAAACAAGAACGGGAGCTTATTTGGGGCGTTTTTCCGCGCGTTTCCATTGGTATTCCCGAGTGTGGCTCGGGGTTAACAAAGCGGTAACCCCGATCCACACTCGGGAATACAGCGTAGGGCTTACCTTTTCCACGATCCCCTGGGTGTCCTCCGGCGGCTGCCGACTTTCGGGTTCCGTCCCTTGCAAGCGGCCGCGTCGCAGGGAGGCGGAGCCGGCGGGAAGTTTAAAAGTTAAAACATTTTTAAAAAAATAGATAAAATAATAAAGGAAAAATAAAAAAAAGTCATACCGCCATCGAAACGCGCGTTTCACTGAACGGGAAAACGTGCTAAAATGTGCAAAAAAACGAGCAGAAAAAATGCGCCTATGCTACGCCCAGGTGTGAACCCAGCCTAAATGTTTTAGGATCTCAATGTACAACAGCATTGGGCTGGGAAAGTGAAGACCAGCACTGGGATCAAAACAAGGCTCTATTGCTTTTCACTTTCTGAACTTGTGGTGGCCAGGTTATTGACATTTATTTGCTTGTTTGTAAGTGAGCAGTAAATGAGCTTTAAATCAAGCCCTCACTGACCTCTGAAGCTGCAGGCACACTGGAACAATTAATTCTTGAAGTTCGGAGAAAAAACACTGAACTTTTAGCTCACCCCCAATCCCATTTACCATTGCCACGCTAGTGATGCCCACCCCAATTTATCTTCTAGCTAAGTACTTTCCACCTTTTTTTAATTAGCTTATTCAGCTGTATTGTTGTATTCAACTTTAATATGTTTTCTGATAAACTAGTTCAAATGAGCAGCAATTTAATTATGTATGAAAGGTTACCAACACGAATTATGCGGTTGAATATTTCCCTGTTGTTTTTCTGTGTTATGCAAATAGGGAATTACTGGGTAAAGTTTTCTCTAGTTTAAACAAATTGTACATGCACTGTTCATAATCGGTTATCATTTTAAATCTTATTTTCTGTATAAAATATATTTTTTAAATCCTCTTATGTTGAAAATAATTCTTGTATTCACATTCTGAATAGGAACATGTCTTCTGGGTTGTGTCACTGAACACCCTTTTCATACTTGTCTTTGGTGAGTATCTAATACATTTTATAGTATTGCAACTAAATTGTAAGTATTACAACTTAGTGTTTAGAGCTCAGAGAACCAGATTTCCTGTATCATGAATGTAACACACACACACACACACACACTCTCTTTTATACTATTGATGCCCACCTTTTTAAGAAAATTATGTGCATCTGCCAACTGCTTTTTCTAGCTAATCTACAGAGTAAAAAAAAAACACCTGGTAGTTCTCAAAGCATCACCTTAAAATGTTATTAAAACCATAAGTTATCAATTAGTGTGGTAGTATCACTCACATGCTTGCTATAATGCTGGCTTGTTTATTTTTCTGTGCCCTTTAAAAAGAATTATAACAACTTTCCGAGACCCAGCATAGCCACCCTTACATGTGCGCTTCCAGTTGGGACTATAGCTGCATGTGATTATGTCAATTTATTAGAACACTGTGGATAAAGGAAATGTGCAAAGTAATGGGAATGTCATAATTTAGTTCTTTTCTGAATGTCCTCCACTGTGGGAAGCCTAGAGAAGAGGGGCCAGAGGAATGTCTCTAAGAAAGCAGCATGCATTGTACACGAAACATGCAAGGTATCATGGGATAGTTTGCCCCTTTACAAATGGCCAGGTCTTAATTTATTTATTTATTATTAACAGCTTCAGTCAAGTTTTTAAGCAATACAAACCTGTTTTGGAGTAAAATTACTAAAAAAAAAAAAAAAAAACCTTTGAAAGTACAACTAATAAAGTGGAGTTAGAGGGAAACCTGAAGTATAGCTTAATACTACTTTAACTGTATATATTAAAAACCAAGTGAGCAAGGATTTTATTTTTCTTAATGTGCCTTTCTTTATTGCCCATTGAAGGACACAGCCCCTGCCTCCAATTGTCATGCAAAAAATTCTACCTAAAGGTGCCCATACACTGCACGGAAATCCCGCGAACGAAGGACCACGGTTCGAGGCATTCTGCTACTTGATGAGGATGTCCTTGTCCTTCTAGGTAAGTATTCTGAGGCTTGGTGTGCCTGCTGTTTGTTGTATGAGGGTCCCCTTAGCATGTGGGTTATCGTCCTCCACTGGGGGAAGCACTTTGCCTGGCTGGCCAGCATCCTCTCTCATAGGACTGGGGGGTTTGGTACTTTCAACCCAGTGACGGACCTAAGGAACAAAGGGCCCTGGTGCAAGATTTTTTTTTGGGCCCCTCCTCCTGCAGCGCTCGGCCGGCTGTCACTTTCTCTCCTCCCCGCTGGGACACCGAGCAGCGCTCAGCGGGGAGGAAATAAAGCACGGATGCGCCGCTGTATCAGCAGAAAAATTGCACTTTCGGCATTTAGCCAAAAGTGCAATTTCCGGCCGATATCTTTTGGCGGCCGATGTGACTCTGTGCCGGGAGTGTTGGATGAACGGATGATCCAACACTCTCGGCGCAGAGATGGGGGGCCCGCTGGCCGCTGGGTACCAATCCGGTGCTGGGACTGTGCAGGGCCCCCCCAGGCCGAGGCCCTCGTGCGGCCGCATCTGCTGCACCAGTGGTCGTTCCGCCACTGTTTCAACCTAATGCCTATTTCTGTGGCCTCGCTGCTGCTGTGCATGGACTGCACCAGAGTGTGTTTTCTTCATCCTGGCGGCTGGTATTTAGTGTTATGGTGGCTTCCATCATAGTTTTACTTTGGCTGGAGCCGAGGACTCAGTCTACGCTGGGACTACCATTACTTCTAGTGGCTGAATGGTGGCTGCTGCAGCCTCTCCGGTGGGATGGGAATTATAGTTCGGGTTGGTTTGACTGTGGTTTTTGTGTGGGTTTATGCTCTAATTTACAGACTCCAATGGTTTGCACTCCCTCAGCCCCTATATGCTCAGGTTCACCTCATAATACCTTTAATGCTCTGTCCTTAAATTCACAGGTTTACCTTCTAGTCACCCTGGCACTTTGCCTGTCCTCTGATGGTGTATAAATTTATATTGTGGAACGTTCAGGGCTTGAACTCCAGCCTCAAACGCTCCCTAGTGTTTGATTCCCTCTTTAAACACAAGCCGCATGTGGTTTGTCTGCAAGAAACACACCTGCTGGGCTCTAAGTTAATGGCTCTGAAAATGCATTGGGTTACCAATTCCTTCAATGCTGTATATTCATCATATTCGCAAGAGGTGTCTATTCTACTGGCTAAGTCACTTGATGCTGCTGTCCTTCAGGTTAAAACTGACCCACTTGGTAGATATGTTATCCTTCACATGACTATAGATGGGAATCCCCTGACGCTGGCCTCTGTTTATCTCCCCCCTCCCCCAGATGTGGACATTCTCCATACCGTCACTACTGCTGCCTTGAGTATGCCTACTGCCCCCTTGATGCTCATGGGTGACTTCAACCTGGCCCCTAATACCCTATTGGACCGCATGGGGGTGGGTGGCGACCCAATACTAAGTTCACCGATTGGGTCCAGGGAATTGGGCTTCTTGATGTGTGGAGATGGAAGTGGCCGGACACAAGGGCCTACTGCGATTCTGCTACACATAGGACGCTCTCCAGAATTGACTTGGCGTTTGAGACCTCTACAATTCTTCCGTGGATTTTCGGGGGTGCGCTTTCTCCCTCAGGGGATCTCGGATCATGCTCCCCAGTTAGTGGAGCTCCGATGGGGGCATTCCTTCTCTTCCAGAGTGTGGAGAATGAATTCCCATTGGCTATCTGATCCCTCTGTGGAGACTACTTGCTCTCAGGCTATCGCCCACTACTGGAGTGATAATGCCCCTGTGACTTCCTCCTCTCTTTTTTTTTTTTTTTTCAAAACATTTTTATTTTCAATTAAAGACAATAACAGTCAATCGTACATATTCTTTGACACAGTAGATCAAGTACATACAGCTAATTTCCTATGATCACATATCACTACTATTGATTACAATCATGTTGAAAGGTGAGAGCATAACTTTCGCTAAATTTGACCAGACACGTGTACTGATCTGTATCCTCTCCTTTTCCTCTAACCATTGTTCCCTCTGTCATACACCACCAGGGTAAGAGAGAAGATCTAGTGTAAAAGAAAAGAGTAATTTGTCCTAACCCCATCCAGCAAGACCCCTCGTGTGAATAGAAACGAGAGCCCAATTTGCCCCAGTCAGAGGCTGTAGTTAGACTAGGTTCTTACAGATCTGCTGGTCTTGGATTGGGGTGAAGACCGACTCTACTAGATCACCTTTTTATCCCTTAAAGCCTTGTTGCTGGTATCCCACCTTTAGGTTTCTTGGATAAGGGAGATTAGGATGTTGTCATCTGGTACCCTCAGCGTTGGTGAGAATAGATCACGTGGCAACAACTTCTTTCGTACTATTTAGCTGTTCAAATATGGCACTCGCTGTATATTTAAATGGAGATAGAAACGTATCTTTTTCCTCTTGCGAGAAGATTATATTAATAAACGGTAGCCACCTGTCATCAAAGGAAGCGGTTTTCTTATTATCTGTCAATAGCATTTCTGCGTCTAGTTTTTCTAACTGGAGCAAGTGAAGGAGGTCTGTGCGCAAACCCTGAACCGTAGGGGGATTAGGGGCTAACCATTCTCTCAGGATACTTCTCCTAGCTGCCAACAGGGCAATACTAATCCAATGTCTTTGGTGTTTAGTAAAGTCCTCCGGCGTATCCCAGAAATTGAACATGATCAAGAGAGCTTCCATCGGAATCTGATGTCCCACTACCAATGCAATGCAGTCCCCTACCCCGACCCAGAATGTTCGTATCGCTGGACATTCCCATAAACAGTGGAAGAGAGAGGCTGCTTTTAGTTTGCATTTGGGGCAATGGTCCAAGTAGTCCTTGACCATGCCCTGCTTGCGTTTGATTTGAAATGCGTAATACGCTCTATGTATAATTTTGTATTGTGTTTCCCTCCACTGCTCGTTGACCATTGCTTTACAGCAACCTGTTATCAATTTAGCAAGGAGCTGATCTCCCGTCCTCCTGACGCCCTCGGAGCCGGTCCCGGGATCCAAGATGGGGCAGCGGATCCCGGGAATCAAGGTGAGGAGTCAGGGGGGGGGGGCCGCGAACGAGCACATATAGGCGATCGGCGGGCTATGGACCCGCTGATCGCCTATATGTGTGACACCCGGTACCGGGTGTGTGCATTGTCGGGTCTTTTCTGCCCGTGCGTGCCCGCTAGGGGGCGCGCACGAGCAGAAAAAAATTGCCGTCTGGAGACGGCAACCCGCAGATGCAGCAGTGCCGTCCGTCCGTTTTTCTACTACGGGCGGACGGCAAGAGGTTAAGAAGAGACATTTCTTCACTGTGAATTTTGGGCATCGATACCGACTTCAAAAAGAGGTCGCCTAAATCCTTTTGTACCTGTGTCGCCGAATACAATTGACTATAGAATTTTTCGAATATTTGATTAATGTGTTTCTGGTCGGAAGTAGTAGTGCCCTCTTCTGACCGTATAGATGGTATGTGTAGCCTGGAAGCGCGTTGCCGAACTAGGTTAGCCATCATTTTTCCAGATTTATTGCCGAATTTGTGACATTTTAATTTAGAGTGGGAGTGATAGTACAGATGTTGTTGGGTGTTACACCATTCAAAGTCTAGTTTTACTTTGGCCCACGCTTCCCTATGCTCTTCAGAGCCAGATAATGAGTATTGTATCTGTGCTAGGCGAAAAGACGAACTGGCTTTAAGAAATTGTGCCCTGGCTTTCCTCTTTCTGGCAGCTACGTATGCCATAATTCTCCCTCTTAGCACCACCTTTGCGGTTTCCCAATATAAATTGGGGTTGTCTGTGTGTGCATTGTTAAAAGATTCATACTCTCTCCAAGCTTCCACCAGCATAGTTTTAAATGACGTTTCCGCATATAAATGAGAGGGGAAACGCCATATAAAAAAATTGCCCCTTGGAGGGGAAAATTGTAGCTGGACCAGTATTGGTGCGTGGTCCGATATGTCTATAGGATACAGTGTTGTGTCAGTGACTAGAGAGTCTACTGTCTCCGTTGCCAAGAAGTAGTCCAGCCTGG